TTAATAAATTAAAAATTAATTTTTATTTTTTAATATAAATTTATGATAAAAATATATTTAATATATTTTTAATTTATACCTCAAAAAAACTTATTAAAAAAACTCATATTTAAAATTTTTAAAATTTAAATTTTGATTTTGGTTAAACAAAAAAATCGAACCGTGTCCAGGCCTACAAAAATTAATGGAAAGGCCCGAATTGTGTGTCACGTGTGGGACCACAACTTAAATTAAGTGGGACCCCTTGGGATCCAATCCAACAGGCAATTTGAGCGTTGTCTTTAATAACGGTAAGAAAAAAAGGGTTGAGTCCAAATGTGATCTATGAAACTGTGATGCACTTCCCATCAGAAACGCTTTTTAACCGTCTGATTTGAGTAGTAGGAAGGAAAATGATTTTTGAATAATTTTTTTATTTTATTTTTTTTTATAATTTAATGTATCATTTAAATAATTAATTTTTTTAATTTATATAAAATTTGTAATATTAAATATATTTATTTATTTAATAATATATAAAAATTTTATAAAAAAATAATATAAAAAAATTATCTTTATGATATCATATACAATAAAAAAATTGAAGTTTTTGAATTTAATTTAAAGATTAAAAAAATAAAGTCATTTTCTCATTTTCTCTTTTTGTCCTTTCATTTCTCTTTGTTCCCTCCTTATGGGGTTGAATTAAATTCACTGCCATGAATATGACCCCACACGCATATAGATATATTGTAAATTAATTTAATTTAATTAATTAAAATGGTTCAAAATATTAATATATAAACAATAAGTAATTAATATTAAAAAATAAATGTTAACATTAATTTTATCAATTAATTAAATAAAATAATTTGTGTCTTTAATAATATAATAAATACACACATTTATAATTGATTCACATGAAAATTTATAAAAATTCAATTTTATTTTAATATCATTAATTATTATATGAACAGTTTTAATTGATCAATTAATTAAATCAAAATTAATATTTATATTTTTATACAAATTAAACACACATTTATAATTGATTCACATGAAAATTTAT